GCCCCACCAAAAATAAATAAAAATGAGATAGTCACTTATTTCAGACTGTGCGGGCAGTGTCACTACTGTACTAATACTGAATACACGTGTTATGTTATGGAGCCTGGAGGTAGGCCTAACGCAGTGTCGTCTCGGTTACCTGTTGAATATGATGCTTGTAATATGACTGTGATTCTTTTGGTAACTGCTTGACACATCTCATCAGATGCCGGTACAGATGCACAGGATTTGTGACTACCTTTGAAACCATTATATCGCACGCTAATGCATCTCACTGAGAAATCAAAACAATCTCCGAAAACCGGAAATACATATTCGGAACTCTTCTTATGTTTTTAAAAAAGAAAACGCGGAAAAATTCAAAACTCGAATAAAATTGTTTTTTTTTTTGCGAGGCAAGTCAGGTGCAAGGATCTTTTCAAGCAATTTAATAAAGTTACCATCTATATTAGATACTACTTTTTGTTGAAGATGACTGCCTGTTGTATCTGACTATCAACGGAAAGAGGAATGTAAAACACCTACAGGTAGACACTGACTCGTTGCAGCAGTGGGAAAATGACCGGGGAATGAGTTTCAATCCTGATAAGTGTGAGGTGATACGAATCACTAACAAACGCAATGTTATTGCTTCTTAGTACACCATTCATAGACAACATCTCCACATGACGGACAAGGCAAAGTACCGGGGAGTCACCATCGATCAGAAACTGTCATGGAACAGTCACGTCCCCAGTGTGACAAGGAAGGCGACAAACACCACTGCTTTCCTGAGACCTAGCACATCTTCATGCCCAAGGAACATCAATGCTACTTGCTACAAGACATTGGTTCGCCCACAACTGGAGTACGCTACCACAGTGTGGGACATTTCCACCAAGTCCCAAATCATCTCCCTGGAGGCAGTGCAGCGTAGAGCAGCCCGGTTAATTATGGACGACTACACCCATACCAGTACAACCATGCTAAAGGAGCTCCAACTCTAAAGCCTTCAAATCTGATGAGCCCAGGCTAGAGCTACCATGATGAACCGGGTAATCAACAATCTAATCGCAATACCAACAACTCCACTTCATTCAACTGTTACAAGGACTAGAGGACACACCACCCGATACCTCCAGCCATACTGTAGATTGGGATCGTACCAGGATTCTTTCTTCCCAGCCGGTATTCGGATATGTATCAAACTGCCAGCAAGTAGCGTGGATGCCAACACCCTGGAAACCTTCAAGTCCAGGATCGGACCCATCCACTCTTCTACTGGTTTCACGAATCAGTGTTGTAAATGCACTTTTTTAAAAATTTCCTTTCATGTCGTGCTTGTTCGTACGAGCGTGGTTCTCTCTATTATTTAGTGTACAGAAAGCATTTTGATTTTATATTTCCTAAAATAAAGAAAAAAAGACTATCCTATCTTCGAAATTCCAGGGGTTACGCTCATTTGGAATATGTCATTTATAACACAATCGAAGGCTCAGTGTGCGCCACATTGTCTATGAGACAAGAAGACCAGTTTGATCGTTTGATGGACATCAACGTGTAAAGGCGGTAAAAATTGACTGGCTTTGAAGTCGGGTGTTGCTCCTCTGTAATCTTCAAAGGACAGGTATCAGCCTAGCGATCGGTATGTTTTTTTTACCGGAGACCAATCAAATAGCTTGCCGAGTGCCTTTAATTTTGCTATGACATATTCCAGGGGTGCAGAGAACGAAAGTAAGTATAACCCATGGAGTATCGAGGATGAGAGAACACCGGGTTTTCAAGGTTGAGCCTACTTATATTGTCGATGAATAAGTGCATGCCATTGTTCACATCCATTTCCATCTGACTAGTTTTCCGTTTAGCTGGTCTTTAGGGAAATTTAAGCTATATGTATTAAATGCCGTGTCACTGTTATCATGACTTGACTTCTTCTCAGATTCAGTGCCTTACCATTTAAAGATATGCTCAATCTGTGTCTCCAATCATTGGCGATATACACGCTTTCCAGGATGTCGGCTGTTATGTGTGTTGCAGTCAACGCTTAATCTTAGTAATGAAACAAGAGAATACCGAAGTTTGAACAAACCCTTAATTCTATTACTCAAAATCGAGAAAACAATGGCAAAACATGTGCAAATGGAAGGTTTTTATGGACACAAATGGAAAATACATGGAGGATAAGACCAGGTGTTTCAGAAGAGCAAGCGTTCTCTGCTTCATCGACGACACCCGCAATATAAATCTAGGTCAAATCCAAGTAATGTTGAATTCTTCATATTGAGACATGGGGTAATGATAACAAAACCACAAGGCACACTAATGAGGCACACTAATGAGTATCGACTTTGATATCATATAAAGCATCATTGAACATGACCGGGAAATGTTTCTTCTTTTTGTAGGGGTTCATGATGTTTCTTTCCGCTGTAGAATTTTCATGTTGTCTAACGAGTAAGATAATTATTGACACTGGAATTTTTTCTCATTTTGGAACTTCTTAGTTACACCTTTCCTATGCAATATGCAGCATTTTAACTTCAACTAACCCCATTTCAAAATTTTCTCATCCTTACAGTAAGTATTTTATCTGCAAATGGGATCCCTAATGCAATGTCAACGAATGGTATCCAACAGTTTAAACGAGGAAGCTGACTAAAGCGGGTAGACAAACTGAGTAAATTCAACGAACAAACTGAGCAAGGGAGTGGAGTGAGTTAAATGAGTAAACTGAGCAAAATAGCGAGTTAACGAGCAATCTAAAAGAGGGATTAGTTAACGCGAATAAACTGAGAAAATCAAATAGTTGGACGTTAACTAGCAAGCTACATGTCTGGTAACCACGATACTACACAGGTCTTCACTCTTACGGTGATACTACTTAGTCACAGTGTATTTTTTCAGCTGATGACAAGCAAATACATTTAAGAGTCGCGAAGAGTGTGAACTAAATTCAACCATTTAATGCGCGCTCTTTACTGTGTCACATTTCACTTTGCTCTTTTTTTGAACAGCTGATAATAGAATAGAATAAATAGATATCATTTTCAACACACAAAGCCAAAATCTGAACTCGGGTTCAATATGTAAAAAAAAAATACAAAATTATTTCATGAACTACAGCTGACGAAAAATAATGTCTTCCGGAAGGGTAAGCATTTATACGGCACACACTGATCATGATGTCTCCTATAAAATCTATCTAGGAAAGATTGTTGCTCACCGACGACATGAGACCAGGGAGGTGTATGAATTTAGTCGTAGTGGATACTTTCATCACACAGTAAGAAACCATATCATGACGGCGTGTTTTATCATATTTCCTCTACGACAAAACATATCGGTAACTACTTGGTCTAAAGGTAACATTTATCAGTTAAAATAGACAATATTAATGCTTACAGTATAAAAAGCTGATCAATGTTAAATCGTATCTATCTGGTTTATCACATAGTTTAATGATATGATAACCTTTGTAGTGCTTTAAATAGATAAAAGGATTCCGATGTATCTTTTGTTTTAAGTATAGAAAATAAATGATATATTGTTACTGATTTTGTTTCTTTTCATTTACGGATGACGTGCTTAAATGTAAAGTTAAAGCAATTGTCTATTATCTAATCTTTCTTTGATAACTGTTGTATACATTCAGCTTCGCTAGAATACAAAACTGAAATATCGATAGTCTGTATAAAATATTCTTCAATTTATTAAGATAATGCATGTTCATGCCGTCACTAAATAATGTTGAAATAACTTGTCCCGAATCCATTTGCTATTGTTTTGACAATAACAATGTAAAAACAGGACAAAATGCGATCACTATCATTCCCTGTGTACGTAATAACAATGAGATGTTTTAACAAAACATTTCTTTTGACAACAATATATTTGCAAAGACGCGTCGCCAGTTTGTATTCTCGGGGTCGTCTTCGCCAATCTCTGGAAAAACGACACGAGAACCTTTTCAACTACATTGTATAGAGTCTGAGAGGTTCCAATCACATGACTTGTCTATTTAAGGGACCTTATCTTCCAGATGTTATTCAAGTCAAGCAAAATGAAAATAATAGTAATAAAAAAAAAATATACACTATTAAATAGACTATAGGGTTTCCTGGACGTTCTTCAAAATCAAGCTTTTAATTTATTCCTCTACATGAATAAGCAGTATCACAACACTTCTGAACTAGGTCTTTAACTGTTGGTTGTAAGGATACCTGTATGGTAGCCAGTTAGTGCCGCATGGATCAAATTTTGTATGTCGTATAGTTTGTCGTAATGACGACATAGTTTTGAAGTAATTACAACATAGTTATCCATGGATAGTACTTGAGTTGTGGAATGCATTGACAGACTATATTACATACAAGACTGCAATAGTGTTTAGGAGGGAAAAGTGGTAATTTTCATAAATGGTTTATGTGTAATACTTCTTCCTATGTGTGTGTAGAGTTAATGTGTGGTTCCTGTGTACGTGGCGAATAGTATTTGTCTTGGTGTGGGCCTCAGTATAAAGTGCTACTTTTTGTTAACATAATGTATTGTATGTTTTGTAAATTGTGCTGTTAAATGAAAATTGAATAAAAACACCCTAGTTATCCCATATATCGTGTAACTACATAAAGTACGACATAGGAGGGTTGTAATTATTATGGTGTTACCTCCTAATACGAAACTGGTTATAATGTTGTGATTCAGTTACGATATATATTATTGCATGCTCATTTTCAATTCCATAAGCTGTTCACAGGTGTCATCTGTGCCGTCAAGGAGTGAAGCTATAATAGACTGTAGTATTATTAGTTATCTGTGAGATAGTGAGTGTGAATGTGAGTGGGATTTGTTTTTGATATATTCTTGTTATAAATACATTATTTACTCTTCAAATTATTTCTTTTTGTGATCATTAGCCGAAGTACACAACGGATGCTCGTCCAACGTTACATTATATATTTTTTATAATATTTTTCGATGCAAGATGTTTTTTCCTCTTCAATTGTTTTAATTCTCCAGCCAGGTAGCTATGCTGTTTGCCGTAGTAGGTACATGCCGTGGAGGTTGAATGAATATGTTAAGCAACATGTAAAGATAAACAAACTGATATTCACTTTGCTTTACCTAGATATTGAAATATGAGAGGAGCCCAATAAATTAATTTTTTCTAGCATAGTTCTTGACTTCACCCATACGATTGGTAAAATTGCAGTTCAAGTTGATGTATGGTGATTCTCGATATTTGGTACTTTGGAATTAAATCTCGAAGTTCGCCTATTTTCAACAAAACAGTCAATGTCGAAAAATACCCAGAAACAACAAGAACACTATATATTCAATTTTTTAGTTGTGTTTGTTTCCTTAAGGCTTATGTAAGTGGAAGGAACGAAAGAGATTTTATTGGAATAATGCCGAATAAGACCTCCCTTTAACTGGTCCATGTTATTTTACACTTTTTGTACTTGTTTCAAGTTAAAGCATTGGACGTTTATTTGTTTATAACTTTCGCATTTCAAATGTCCTTTCTTCATTTCCCCGAAGCTAGTGAAAATGTCTGTTTAAGCACATCCGGTGGCGGGGTGAAGGACAATGTAGATTCACTTGAGGTTCACGGATATCTTTGGAGAGGCAGCTGAAAAAATATAGAACAAAGAATAGTAGATTGAAGTTTATTAGAGAGAGAGAGAGAGAGAGAGAGAGAGAGAGAGAGAGAGAGAGAGAGAGAGAGTACTACTACCAATAAAAGAAATGAGAAAGAGAAGGATTATTAAACCAGTTCAAATGGGTCCCTCTCAATTTGTATTACATATTTTAATAGGATCCATTCTGATGCAGTTTAATGTAATTCTGATATATCATTGATCTTGTTCAATAAATACAGTGAAAGGACAAATTACTAACAACAAAATAAATTCATTGGTGGTTTTTTTTCGTTTTAAAAAATACCGCTGAGGTTAAACCAATCTTGATTATTTTAACATACCATCTATCATAAAAAAGCATCAAAATCATGACATTTTGATTTATGTTTGTACAACATATGTATATATATGACGTTTGTTACAAGTTATGTTTGCTGTTCCTTTAATTTTCCTTTCAAGTCCTGGTAATTTTGTATATAATCATTGGCATTTAAAACTGGTGTATTTATGTATTTGATGGTTATATCCGATTTTATATCTTACTTACTTGTTCCTTTAACCTTTAATTTCAGCTTTCGGTTTTTCACAAGATTGAAGTTAATGGTCTTTAGTGTAACGTTATTCTTCTTTACTTTGATGGAGTAGTCTCCCTTGAAATACCTCTGGTTCTTGTAGTTTTTCAACTTTGCACTCCAGTTTGTTCTCCATGCGGTGTTGACAAGATCCATATACTTCTGACCTGCTTTGTTCACCTGAAATGAAATTGTGTTAAACGAATGAAATACAGTAGATGCTGGTCTAGATAATCGCTTTTAGATATTCTGAAACAAGTGCTACTTCTTCAACACAAGAATCATCTTGTCGACTGGGGTTCATTGGATGTTAATATACCGATTGCAACATCTTATTTTCGAAGAACTGTTTCTTTAATGTATTTTCCACTCGATATCTTGACTTCATGAAAGAGGCACGGATATCTTATATACATTTCTCAATTATATATACTCACAGTTTATGTAAGAGTATAAGTCGTTACCTATAATATCCATAAATTACATTCGTTCTGATTTATTTGCAATTTGACAGAGATAAGATAGGAGAAATGCCTCAAAGTGTCAAAAATCTTTTTTTTTATAGCACGTTAAAAACGGAACAAAATTATTCAAAATGTCATTATTTTATGTTTTGCTGTTGATTTAAGAACTGAATTGTGGAATGGGATTATTTAATTGATCCTTTTTAACATTTAAACGTAAGTGGAAACGCGATATAAGGCTAACTCTGAAAATAAGAATTGAAATATAAGTTCCATCATTGAATAACAAACAACTATTAAGAATTATTTTACACATTTTATTAAGGGTTCCTTATATTTGTCGTTTATATACTTACAGCAACCGTTGGTGTCGCATCGGTGCTAGCTGGCCACTTGAGAGATGCACCCCAGAATCCCCATAAAATGACGCCTGCCACCTTCTTGTGACTAAAATACATGGTCATCACGTCCTCCAGGGCCTGTGCCTTTGCCGTGAAGTTGGATCCCGCGATGGACAACTCCGTCACCCAGATCGGCGGACCGGCCTCGGCCACCTTATCTAGACGGTACTATGACAAAATGCAAACAAGAAACATAAGACTTAAAACTAATAGAATATGTCCCTACTCATATTGGGTAACGAACATTATGTTTCATTTTTAATTACCTTAAAAACTCCCTCGTCTATCCTTGTAGACAGAATAACATGATTTACGGCCTTCCAATTATAATATGTGATGGCTGGTAAGTAAACTAATAAAAGAGGTGGTATATTAATATTGCAAGTTGCCATACCATTAAGTTTGACAGAGGAACTAACTACTTGCTAATACGGTTCTCGAATCTGTAAAGGGTGGTGTGTTGATAACCCAACATATCGTATCTATATATAATAAGCCAGTTATATAGACGATTATATACTATATAATTTTGTAGGGTGTAATCTACATATCTATATATAATAAGTCAGTTATATAGACGATTATATACTATATAATTGTGTAGGATGTAATCTACATATCTTTATATAATAAGCCAGTTATATAGACGATTATATACTATATAATTGTGTAGGGTGTAATCTACATATCTATATATAATAAGCCAGTTATATAGACGATTATATACTATATAATTGTGTAGGGTGTAATCTACTTGATGTTATGCCCTAGACATAGTCCTCTAGCGTGAAGTTCTTTAGGTTCATCATCTAGTATGCACTGCGTAAATGCACTCCACTGTGAAGCATTTTACCGGTATATTATCCTCTTCTCGTTTTTAAGTGTAATCTTAAAATGTTGAATCTGTATGATAGTGTGTATACCTTAATGTATTATACTTTTTAAAAGAGTGTGGTAGTGATGGAAATGATTGGAACCCAATTACGATGCATGACTGCATACGGAAATAGTTATTGGGTACATGATGTACTGTAAGTATGACATTGGAACACACACCTTGAGTTGGGTCATGTCGACGTCGGTTGACCCGAGATGACTTTGAACCCCAATACCATGGATAGGTACTTGTGCATCCACAAAACTCCTGGCTTGGTTCTTAAGTGCCTGTAAATAACAAAAGCAGTAAGAATTGAAAACAAAGTGTATGTAATGGATACACGTATTTTCACAGTGAGGCGTATAACCGGTCATTATAGATGATGCGTAAATAAAAACCTGTGGAATAATCGTTAGAAATACTATGTAACAATTCAAAACTTCACCTTATCGATGCAGAAAGCCGATACAAATTAAACATTCTACTCCACCATATGACCATTTTAACCTTATAGGACTCACCAGTGATACTAAAGATAAAAACATCCACATGATACGTTATTCTTAATCTAGCATGTCACCAAAACTGTGCCAGAATAATTTCGAATTACAAAGTTAGTTCCAACTTAGGGACCGACAATCCACCAGCGGAGTCAAACACCTAACTACATGATAAGCCTATAGAACAGTATCTATCTAATATCTATCTATTTTTATAGCACTTTTTGAAATATCCTTCTAACGGAATAAGTTGCAATTGTATTTATAACGCCGAAAATGTAGACACTTGACGGATACTGTAAATGATTTCGTTAATGTTAAATATATTCGAGGACTTGATGGCATCACCGAAGCCGTCGTTGAAACAGGCTGCACAATGTATCATAGACGACACGCTCCGTTCGTCCTTTTGGTACTTCTCGATATACGATGACATACAGATGCAGACTTATTTTGACCGTACCGTTGTTTACCTGTCCTGGTTTACGTACATATATATACAGATTTTGACCGTACCGTTGTTTACCTGTCCTGGTTTAAGTACATATATATACAGATTTTGACCGTACCGTTGTTTACCTGTCCTGGTTTACGTACATATATATACAGATTTTGACCGTACCGTTGTGTACCTGCCCTGGTTTACGACACCAAAATCGTTAAGGAAGAGTTGTGTGTTCGGTTCAGCCGTGTGCACATCCCGGAACATATCCATGGTAATGTTGATATTCCCGGTCGTCCTCTCAAAGAAGTCGTCGTGCAGGTTCTCGTTGTTGACATCCCAATGAGCCAGCCTGAAAGATATCGTATTATTAAGACATTAACACCCCAGTGTGCTAATCTGAGGAATGAAATATCTATTCAAATATTAATATTCTAGCCAAAAAACATATTATGACTGTAAACAATGAAAATCCATTGAGCTAGTCCAAGATATAAAGTCCATTTATTAAAATAATTTGTTTCCATGGATAAGCTACGGTCTTAAATTTCTATCATATCGCTCCTAGGTGTTTTGTCTTTTTTTTTTTTGACACAAGTTCATTCTTCTTTTCTTAGAAAGAATTACCTCCCTTTGGTAAGATTGATAGCTTCACTGATTCTATCGTCGATTTTTGTCACCATCTCGGCTGGATCCGTTACGCTCCGCACCCAATCGGGGACCCATTTCTCCACACTCCAGAACACGTTGTGACCACGTACTGACAACCTGACATTCAATGTAATGAATTTTCTGTTCAAAAGTCTTCCCTCAGTACAGCAAATTTCAGGTATAATAGTGGTTGGTTAAACAATGAAGTTATTACAAACGAATTATCAGCATTCCATGGACAATACAATCTATATATACGCTGTATGTATTCGCATTGAAGAAAGTATCTAAAATTGGCCGGTGTCATTTTTTTTACTGAGGTTAAACAACTCGTTGTCCTTTTAGATACTCAAATTTTGTGATTATAACATTAAAAGAAAACAACAATGCGGCAGATCAATCAAACGTGTTATGTACAAAATAAAACTTACCCGTGATCCAGCAGGTCAAACTTACCCGTGATCCAGCAGGTCAAACTTACTCGTAACCCCGCAGGTCAAACTTACCCGTGATCTAGCAGGTCAAACTTACCCGTGATCCAGCAGGTCATACTTACCCGTGATCCAGCAGGTCAAACTTACCCGTGATCCAGCAGGTTATACTTACCCGTGATCCAGCAGGTCACTGATAGTTGCGTCAGCATCGTCAAACCTGAGGGTGCTCTATTGGTATAAACATCAGAATGAAAATGTTAATCAAATGTTTTGAACATCAACCTTTCCGCAACTGAAAGATTCTGGAATTCACTATTAATAGTTAAGGAGGATTCATGATTTCCTTCTAAGTGTTCTTATGGGGAATATCCACAATCAACTAAATCCTATTATTAGATGGTTGCGTGATAAAAATTCTTGTTATTTCATCAGCGTTTTTATCACCAAGCACCAATTAAACATATTCACAAAAGATCTGACATATATCGTCGAATGCTACTACAATTACATTTTAAAATAGGATTATTAGGATTTATTTACTGTCCAATTGAGCAAAATATTAGGAAATATTAAGAATTTATTTTTAATTTATAGTTTGCTTTACAGTTATACACAGAAAATATATTTTTCAAACTATCTGTGAGAGTGGCATATCAATTTTAGGTTACCTCGCTCCATCGCATGCCCTTCCACTTGAGAGCATTTATCAACACACCCCACTCCGGTTTAACCGTATCGTACACAAAGTCTTTGAAGACAGAATAACTTGAGTTGGTCCATAGCTTCGCCTGAAGAGCTGTACCGTGTCCAAACTCACTTCGCTTCTGCTCAACCTGAATAGAAAATGATGTAATGTCAGTTAATAATACGTAGACTATTGAGTTAGTTTCCTGTTAGTGAAACAATTTATAGTAATACTCATTTTTAGGACATAATGGAATATACAAAATTCTGGAAAAAGACTTGCATTTATCACATTCGACACATTTGTTAAAGGAAATGTGTTATAGTTATAAACGACAGATAAGAAACTTTGTTACAATGCATCAATTGCAATTAGAAACAAAGTCATGTTTTTTTTTGTTTCAAAAATATATGTAAGTCGTAATATCAGTTTTCGCCATCTGTCACAATCATCCTGACTTACCTCTATCGTGAAATCTTTCAACTTGATTCCTCTGACCTTTTTTACACTGAAAAATGTAAGAAATTATAGTAGGACCAATATTTAATATAGACATCACGATTAGAACGTGAGCCCAATAAACTATTATTCATTTTATCCCACTTATGTATACACATATATAAATATGCATATTTGCGTTTTAAATAAATCATTTGATTGTTATCGTTCTTGTGTGATATTCATTTGTAAAAAAAAATCACGATATCCATATTAAAGACATACATATTTTAAACAAAACGATTATATGATTAATTAATGTAATTTGACGTCATTAAAACGAAAATCAAATCTTTGTGACATTCAGGTGAAGCTGGCTTGTTTATCTTACAGGATATCGAGAGTGACCTTGCGGTTCAGGTCAATGTTGGACTCAGCTTTTGACCTCCAGTCCGGGTCCGGTACGAGCTCCACAAGGCTTGCGTCATCAAAGAAATAACTAACTTCCTTTTCCTCAATTTGGATATAGATCTTGACTTCTTTGACATCTGAAAAAATAATTAACAATATTATATGAACTCCGAAAAAAATCCGCTTTCTTTTCCACTTGGATAATATACTTGCAAACAGTTGTCGAGCAAAATGAGCAATACCAGTTTTTCTGTTTGAAATGACGCTAGTCATGCACAGTGATCTGGTGAATCAAATGACCATGTACTTACTGCTTGGGAGTTTGACGTCCCCTCCCACCTCTTCCCAGGATCCTGGTCGAAGTCGAGGGTGTATGCTGAGATTGGAGTAAGTTTTACTTCCTACAGATAAAAACTGACATCTAGAAATCTACAATAATCTTAGATGATCTTAAATTATGTATATTTAATGTAAAAGCCAAGGATCTGCAATTATGATTTAATATACTTTAGAGTTTTTTTCTTTTCTTCTGTAGAGTTAGGTGATATACTGTATAGGTAGATGATCAAGTTAGGTGCTTTACAGAAGAGCTGTGTGATAGACTTTATGGTAATTTGATATACTATGGAGTTATTCGATATTCTATAGAATTTAGTGACATACTGTAGAGTGAGATGATAAAGTAAAGTGCTATACGGTAGAGCCCCTAGAGTTATTTGAGTTAACTATTATTTGATATACTGTGTTGTAAGGTGTTTTTGCAAGATGATTTACGATAGAGTTACTTGATAAACTATTTAGATTTAAATGATATACTGTAGAATCAAATAATACAAAGAAACATAAACTGCTGTTAAATTGCAACTTTTCGTTTGGTTCTTAGTTTAGCTATTATGGAGATTGATACGTTTCCGAGAATAATATTTGACCGGAGAAAAAAACTTGTCGTTTATGGGATTTGGCATAGGATTATATCACCTTACAATTCAAAAGTTACAAAAGCAGAATACAAAAAGACAACAATTATAATTACATCTTTAACCGGCAAAAATAATACATTAACCTACCGTCGAGCTTTTCTATTCTTAGCTTCACCATCACCTCGTGATACAAGTGACCAGCCGCAAGATTCTCCAATTTGATGTGTCCAACGAAAGCGTACAATTTACCAGAAGTGACATCAGGTGGTTGAATAAAATAGCCAAGTCCTCCCCAGTTATTTGACCTTAAGATAAGAAAAGTTATTTGTGTACCTGAAACTGGTGGATAACTATTCACTCCATGTTTAGCCTCTCAATAGTTTGGGCCAAAATTAATGGTTTATTCGATGGAGATTTGCCTAAATAACTGTAAGGCATTTCTAATTACACTGAATCTTTGGAAAATTGAATAAAATAAAATATACTATAGAGTTAAAACAAAATACGGAAGCATCAGCACACAAACTATACCAGAATGACAGCTGAGAAAAACACACAAAACGGTCAACACAGAAAATATGCTACAGCGTCAGCACACACATTATACCACAGCGTGAAAATACTAAAATATCCGCAGCATCAAAATACTCTTAAGCCACATCGTCACTACACAAAATTAAATTGATCACAGAATCAGCATACAAAAAACAAATCAAATATGTATTGTTTGTTTTTCCAGACGGTGCCTTAGTTCGAACCTTTTAGAATGTTATTATGTTATAATGTGTATCAGCTATAATCAATTATCTGTGGACATATCACTAATTATATCAATTCATGGAGTACCTCCCGGTGATGTGGACACTCTGCGCTCCTCCACGTTTCTCTGAGGTGCTTATGGCCCAAGAACATCCCGACTTCCTCCAGTAAGTCCCCAGGGTACCCGCCTCAAAGTCTCCATTTCCCAGAAGGTTAGTTCCCGCTACTTCCAGTACACAAGTCCCCACCAGGAGGAGACTGCTCAGTATAAATGTCATTGATCTTATTCGATACCAACAACTCTTGTGAATGCATATATCTATATAAGTGTGTATCCTTTTATTTAGGAATTTACATTCCTGCTCCTTCTGTTCGACTTTTGATTGGCTGAGAGATAACAGCATAACCTTTGTCACTAGAGGTCAGTGTAGCTGAGACCGGGGCTGGACATTAAGTGTACATGAAACAAGCACGCATTTACTAAATGTGGAAAATCTAACTCGAGGGTAAATGGTTTTGTTAGACTTTCATGATATCATGCGTCACAGGCGGTCAGCTGTATTGTGTCTAGCACCATACCAAACATAATATGTTCATTCCTTAACACTGTTTAAGCCATAACAACACTGTTTAAGCCATAACAACACTGTTTAAGCCATAACAACACTGTCTAAGCCATAACAACACTGTTTAAAAACTGATGAATGTTTGTGACCTAAACTGAACTTCGTGAAAGAAGTACTAGAGGAAAATTTGGAATGAGGTTCATCAGTTAAGTAGGAATTATAAAGGCTAAGTTTGTATTGAAAACAAACAGTAATTGAAAACTTATGTTGCGAGCTTTCGAAAACGTCTGTTTACTTTGTCAAGCAAAGAATGCAACTGACCGGTGAGTCGACTCTAAACCGCCGAATAAGGGACGGAATGGGTCAAAATATCATTACCCGTCACTCTGACTGCCTGTAGTATTAGAGTACGAGCTATTTGGAGAAATGTATCTAATTATATAAGTATGTGTACCACTTATTAGTCCTAAAAAGCAACCAATTTGGCTTTTTGAATCGAAAAACTTTTAAACCTGTATTTCTTTTTCTTTCTCCTATTGATTTTTAAAATAATACTTCGTCTGTTAGTTATAATTCCATTTATAATAATTCAGTTTGGAATCTGATAATTTCTGCTGCTAAAGTAGGAAATAGACCATTGATAAATATTCAATCTATAGAAGTTACAGATTCATAATAAGAACTAATGATACATAAAAAAAATAAGGGATTACGTTATGAAGTAAGTTTATTTTCATAGAGGATTACCAAACAAAAGAGCCGCTTGTATAAAATAGTCTCGTAGGTATAAACTTACCATAATGTTATTCTAGGATTGATAACATACACTGACCAAATATCACGTATGTCATTTCAAGAGTTTGGTCACACTGTGCTAGATACTCTGCCTAAAATCATTTTCAATAAATATGATTAAATAAGACACGTTTAAAGGCCATGCGTCACTGTCTCACTAGCCAGAGGGGAGGTCACTCGTGGTGGTAAGCTCATCCATCAGTGTGAGTGTACTGAAATGTCCCCTACCCAGCGACATTTGTTCTTACTTCCCACGTAGGCTGTTTTGTTTACAGGTTGGCCAGTCTGGTTTGGTGTAATTATGTCTATACTCTAGTCTAGACTTAGAACAGTTAGCTTTTAAAAGAAATGAAACAAACTTGTCCTTATGTATTTCTTGTATCAATTAAATAAAACAACAACGTTTACACTATGAGTCGAAATCGGGACTCACGAGCGATGTGTATTGTCCGTCATACATACTGACCAATAGGCCTGAAGGCAATGTCCGTCCACTGACCTTCCTGGTTAACGTATTCTAACACAATATGTAACAGTCTTATTTCACAAAGGTGAATAGTTCGGTACAGCTTGTCTGTTCAAACATGTTGGGGAATCCCTACAAAAATGCAACCACTTATCAAAAATGGGAGGCAATATATAGACAGCATCAAAATAATGAATTAAGCACGGGTTTGTGAAATGTTTGTCTTAGATAAGTTTCCTTTTAAGTAGTGTTTGGTCATTCTGTACCGATTGTGATTTTGTTAATTGTTCTAGTACGTTGATGCTGTGGTAATGTTTGGTAAGATACGATATTGGTATGCATCTTATTGAAGAAGTATGGAAATATTACGGCGGTACACATCATATTGAAGTAGTGGGGTAAATCATATTGAAGTAGTGAGGTTAATCATATCTGATTAGTGTGTTAAATCATATTGAAGGAGCGTGGTAAAGCATATTGAAGTAGCGTGGTAAATCATATTGAAGTAGTATGGTTAATCATATTGAAGTAGCGTGGTAAACCATATTGAAGTAATTTGGTAAATCATATTTAAGTAGTTTGATAATTCATATTGAAGAAACGTGGTAAATCATATTGAAGTAGTGTGGTAAATCATATTGAAGTAGTGTGGTAAACCATATTGAAGTAGTATTGATAATCATATTGAAGTAGCGTGGTAAACCATATTGAAGTAGTTTGGTTAATCATATTGAAGTTGTTTGATGAATTATACTGATGTAGAGCGGTAAACCTTATTGAATAGTGTGTAAAATCATATTCAAGGAGCGAGGTATACATAAAATCCAGACACTCTCTAATGTGCGTCTTTTTAGTGTCAATTTATTTAGAAAATTTCGATTTATATTTTATATACCATATTTTGATAAATAAAGAAAAAAACATCTTTCCAGTTTAAATTAACATGTAAAATCAATATCTAAGAAGAATATTTGCAACGCTTTCATCTGCAAAATAGATTTTGGTGATATAATATCAAATAGATACACACAATATCACAACGAATGGAACACTGTATTAACAAAAGACTCAGACAACCAGCTACAATGCCTATCAGGCCAGGAAACACGCTACATTCCTAATCTAAAATTTACTAGGAAAATCGACATCTTTATTTCTTTAAACGACGAAGATGAGAAGGAAGTTATGATATTCCTGGACGGTAACAAAACGAAATAACATGAACTCGTACATACAATGCATACGTAAAACCAGACGTTATGGTGAGTCTTTTTCAACATGTTCAACATGTTTTTCACCTCCGATCGAAGTGAAGTAGAACAGTTTTTTTAATCACTGCAGATACTGAAAAAATCATGATTTGATATTTCCTCAACGTAGATATGAGATAGAAAACCATGACAGTAATCTATAGGTCAAAAGAGAAGATCTTTCGAATAAGCATTGTGATTTTTAGCAAAATATTAGGATTTTTTTTTCATAAAAAAGATAATTGACAGTTTTTGAATACTAAACCTTTCAGCCTTGATTATGTATAGCATATTGAAAGGTCAAAAGAAAGAATAGATGTTTGTTTTTGATAGATGAAATTCTAAGGTTTTCTAGAAGTTCATTTTTATTAGTGCACCTACAGAAATAAGTACCACCACAATGTTTTGTGAGATATTAAAATGCTTTTTTTTTTTTTTTTTTTTTTTTTTAACTTTTTTNTAGATAAACGGACGGTTGCAAGGACTATTGGTTGTAACAACACTTGTGCAGTCATTGATTAGCAAATCCAAATGCGTGTCTGATATACTTAATAATGCCATTATAGACATCTCGCTTCTAGAAAGTGTTGATAGGGTTAAACGTTCGAAGAAACCGTTTTACGTAATATTACAGAACAATTAACTACTTTCAAAGCTGTGGGCCTAAAACGGCAATTTTCTGCGGTGTTGGGTAAATTTGACAGTAGGACCAAACTAAACAGACACGTATTTGGCTTAATCTTGCTCAACATATTGACAATGAAATAAGGTAGATGTTTATACCATAGTCCACTACAGGCTCCATCAGATATTTTAAAATAGTGTTTCCAGTAATGCTTGGTGATTCTCGATGAAATATTCATTGGTAACTAAACTTTAAAGCTTGCTTGTTTTCAGCAATACGGAAAATAACGGCAAAAGTGAAAAAGACAACAACGGCTGTTACCGGAATGGGTTTATTAGAACAATGATAGCGAACAATATTCCTGTAATTTTCACGTTGTTTTACTCTTCTAGTAAAGGCTTTTAGTTGATTTCATTTAAAGCTTAGGAACGTGAAATGTTATTTTCAAGCATGTTATTGGAGACTATTTGATATAAACATAAACAATAATCACTAAGAACACCTGGCGGAGGAGTGGTGCATGTTCAGGTAAGTTTCACTTTTATCTTTGGAGAGTCAGCTGCAAGGAAAGAGAATATTGATTTAGATTATGTATATGAAATAAAAGAAAATAAAACTATACAAAAACGCATTTTTGTATGACAATGAAAAAAGGCTCAGCGTAATGATACTTGTTTCAAATATGGCGCCGTTCACGCTTTAGCGAGATGACAGTCCAATGACAACCAATGCTTGGGTCATTTACCATCCAGATACAAAGAACATATTCGGGATCCATCATGTCTAATTATACAACAAAAGAATGCTGACCGACTTCTTATTTCATGGATGCACATTCAAATTTCTTTGACGGTAACGTCAAGAATGGCGGCTTCGTTCTGACCGCGTCACTCCATGAGCAGTGTGTCAATGCGCGTACATGACGACCGTTGTAAATGAATAGAAACGTTTGAAGGGCTTCTCACATTGCTTAATTTAAAATTTAAAAACCATGAAAGGAAAAAAAAATAATGTTGTTCGCTGCGTACTTTCTACATTTACTCATATATCGATGTAGATTCACTTGAAATATATTGTCCTAGCAACCACGGTTACCGTAGTTACCATCGTGGCAACCCGCTTCGACTTTTTTCTGCGTAATGTAGCATTTAAACAATTTTTGATTGTAAATATAAGGATTGACCTTCATTTTGACGGCGTATATGGTGGTAAGAACGCAGTTTCGCGCTCTATAAAGAATATGTTCGTTACCAACTGCGTTCATACTACTTTATATGCCGTCAAAATGAAGGCAAATCCTTAATTGCATTAAGTAATCAGGTTTATATTAAAAAGTTATTTTTTGTTTCTAAATAAAAAATATATTTGTTAATGCTCTATTTACATAACAAAATCATAACATTCAGATCAATGCGTGTATATTATGTAAGTTAAAATTGATATCAAATGCGCTTGCATTCTATTTTCGTTCATTAGTGATGTTTGCAGAAATATTATTGGCTGTATCTGATGTAAATTTGATGTTTGGTAAATTTGAAATATGTAGTTGGGTATATAATAGTTTATTTTATCGAAGGTTCATACTTATTTTGTTACTTTTATACATTGGCTTTAATGAATATTTTGGTAAAATGGATGTTCGTGTGTATTAAATGGTTGTGTGTAATGGTTATTTTTGTTTTTAGGATGTTTGTGTGTAATGGTTATACATGTATTTGTTTATTGATATCTGTGTGTAACGGATGTTTATGTGTATTGGATGTATGTGTGCAGTTGATGTGTGTGCGTATTTGATGTTTTGTAAAATGAATATTTGTGTGTATTGAATATGTGTGTGTTTGCGATGATTGCGTATATTGGATGTATGTGTGCTTTTGATATTTGGGAATATTTGATGTTGGTGTGCATTGCATGTTTGTGTGTTCTAATTTTTTTTATGTGTATTTAATTATTTTTATAAAGAATATTTGTGTATTGGATGCTTGCGTATATTTGTTAATTCTGAGTATTTCTATATGAGAATGTGGGTATGATTGATGATTATAACCGAGAATGTTTTTGCGTTTTACATACTTGTTCCTTTTACTCTTAATTTCAGGTTCCGGTCCTTTAATAAGGAGAAGTTAATTGTCTTGAGTGTAACTCCGTCCTTCTTGATTCTGATGCAATAGTCTCCTTTGAAATGCCTCTTATTCTTATGGCTTTTCAACTTTGCACTCCAGTTAGTTCTCCATGTTGTGTTTACAAGGTCTAAATACTTCTGGCCGGCTTCGTTCAACTGAAATTGTAATTATCAAGTAATTAACCGTACTTCACCCCATGCGAAAATTCTGACGGAAAAAAGGAATATTAGGTGGTGGATATTCAATTAGAGTTAAATTTACCTGTTAACTGAATTCTAATTTATGAGAAAAATGATGTTGTAACACAAGCGACGGCGTCAGGGATGACGTCGCAATAAAGCCATTCAGTCTCCAGTATCTATTCGATACCGCGTGTGTCCTCCGCAGGTTGTGATCACATCACTGTAAATCCCAGGAGCCTGTTTATGTTTAAACTTGGATGTTGTTCCATTCCTACAGAAGTGCCTGATTTAGCTGGGCGACGTTGTTTAAGGGCGTTTGCTCCTCGTTTTCTAAGCCGTCTGTCCCATTCGTCCCATATATGTTCAGTGGGGGACAAATCTGGACAGTTAGACATTGGGACATTGGTTTTTGCTAGAAAAGCACGACACACCCTTGCAACATGTGGAGGGCCTGATCACGGTGCCCAACGATAGGAGGCATTACCCTGGATGCCAACCAAGAGATTTAAACACAATTAAAATCGCTTCCCAAATCCCTAACATCCATCATTCAAATCCGTTAACTTCCTGAACGCTTGCATTTCATATCGTTCACCGCGATGTCGGTAGACGTATCTCTATGTGTACAGTATATGCCGGTCTACACCGATTTTACTATTTATGCTAACCGAGTTAAAAGTATATTTATCATCACTCTGACTCATCCAATAGAAAGAAAAGTAAAAACCAATGTTGTCTTTAAATACTTACAACAATCGGTATTGCATCGGTCGTCAAGGTATCAGCTGGCCACTTGATGGAAGGCCCCCAGAACCCCCATACGATGATACCTTCGACCTTTTCATGGCTAAAGTACATTGTCATGGCTTCCTCCATGGCTTGAGCCTTTGCTGCGTTGTTAGTTGACCTAATCGACAACTCTGTCACCCAGATCGGAGGACCGGCCTCGGCCACCTTGTCCAGACGGTACTGTGAAAATAAAAAAATAAAATTTATAACTAAGGACTACAATAATCTTTTTCAAACCCTTTAAGTAAGAATAACGATGAAATATCATCTTTCTGAACAAAACTATGGAATACTCAAATTTGCCGCGGGTGGAGATATTTTTTAAATATTCCCCGAGGGTTCAGATAACGCTGTCATACCACCAATGTATGTTCGCTACTAGAAGGACGTGGGTGGCATATGAATCTCTCATTGCTTATAAATACATTCTTAAAGCAAAATTCATTTTCATGAAGATTAACAATGCACCAAACCACTCAGTCGGCCTGAATCAAAACCATCCAACTAAAGTATATTTGCCCGCGAATACAACGTCAAAACTACAGCCATTAAATCAGGGAAAACAGTTCTGTGCCGGCCTCCAGTTCAAGTTTTGACCAGCAAACTGATGTCAATATATCTCTTGTTAAAAGATTGCAGTTATCACCCATACAGAGATATTCAAATTATAACACTTAGGTTTGTGTATTATAAATACGATGTTTATGCAATATTAACTATTGTAAGGAGATGGTTTGTATTGGCTATGCCAGTTGCCAAATTATTTTTGCGCTTCAGATGTTTACAGTAAAATTGTACCTTGAGTCGAGTCATGTCTACATCGGCAGACTTGAAATGGCTTTGAACTCCAACCCCATGTATAGGTACCTGGGAATCCACAAAACTCCTGGCTTGGTTCTTAAGGGACTGTTAATGACAAAGGAAACAAGGATGAACTCTTAGAGCATCTTATGGACGTAAGACGATAAGTCAACGGAAATTAGTGGAATTATATTTAATCCACATGATCAGGATATTGAATAACATGTCGTTATGATATGAATATCAACAGACACCTCTGTCGCTTAATGGATTAACACTATCAAAACAAAATAGCTATTTTTGCCGAACAGTGATACAATGTACTTATTGAAAGCAAAGTAAAAGATATCGGGTTATACAACTGGAGAAATCAGATCTCCTCGAATGTATTTATTTGAAGATTTTACGTCAGAATGGCATGACCGAACTCGCTTCTGCGATATGTAATGTTGTTTTACTAGGTACTACCCATTGCACGATACAGCTAGCTTTAAAACATACCGTTGTATATGTGCCCTTGTTGAAGACAGCAAAATCATTGAGGAACAGTTTTGTGTTTGGTTCTTGCAAGTGCATCTCCCGGAACATATCCATGGTGATGTCAACATTCCCGGTCGTCCTCTCAAAGAAGTCGCTGTGAAGGTTCTCGTTGTTGACATCCCAATGAGCCAGCCTGAAGATTTATCAAGAGGCCGAACGGTCATATCTTAATATTCATATTAGCATGTATGTTAAAAAAATTAAATAAAAAAATCCATTAAATATAAGATAATAGTTGTCAGTGCTCTAAATATTAGTTTTCTCTAGTTCCTGAAATGTTGCTCAATATCGTCAGTACAAGTAATATTCATGGAATAAAATAAAGACACCTTCTAAAATATTTGTCTCTTAAGATGTTTTCGCATTATTCAAGGCATGGCGAGAAGTGTTGAAATGATAAAGATAATTGCATTTACATCCTTATGATATAGGAACTTGCAGCAGAAACGAAAAATAAATTAAAATAATGGGCACTGAAATACCTTCCTTTAGTAAGAGTGACAGCTTCACTGATTCTTTCTTTGATCGTTGTCGCCATCTCGACTGGATCCGTGATGCTTCGTACCCAATCAGGAACAAATTCTTCAACGCTCCAAAACACGTTATGGCCACGTACTGACAACCTGAGATTCAAGCAATTTATTTTAACATGTGTGAAAATGTCTTTTTTCCTGAACTTATATTTCCAATCAATGCAGTTACATCAATATACAGCAAAGGAAATATTGAAAACAAATTGAATGTTGCAGATTTCTTAATTTCATGTTTCTCGGCTTAATTTAATGGAACCGACGTTGCGCAAGAATGAAAAGAACGGATTTTTAATGTTATGAGGATATTCTTGTCAATATTGACCGGTTACCATTCCTTAAGTTACTGAAGCTCAATACTCGTTCTGTTATAAAAGGGAGGACTTTAGTTCACAGCAAATGACAAAAAAAGCAAAACAAGCAAAATGTATTTGTGTATACAAAATGTATTTGTGTATACAAAATATATTTCTATATACAAAATATATTTCTGTATACAAAATGTATTTCTGTATACAAAAATGTATTTCTGTTTACAAAATGTATTTGTGTATACAAAATATATTTCTATATACAAAATATATTTCTGTATACAAAATGTATTTCTGTTTACAAAATGTATTTCTGTATACAAAATGTATTTCTGTATACAAAATGTATCCTGTATACAAAATATATTTCTGTATACAAAATGTATTTCTGTATACAAAAATGTATTTCTGTTTACAAAATGTATTTCTGTATACAAAATGTAGGTCTTACCCGTGATCCAGTAAGTCATTAAGGGTCTCGTTGGCATCGTCGAATTTTAATTTGCTCTGTACAATATAAACATCAAAATAAAAACTTCATTATTCAAAATTTATATCAACTTCTTAAGTCACTAATTGATAATTCTCAGGTTTAATGGTTATGCATTCATAATTCTTCTTGGTTCTATTTCAACTGCGTTGCTGCATTATTTCTCTCTAAACTCATCTGTAACATTCTCACTTAGCTCACTCTAAACAAAAAAATATTTCTTTCAGCTTGTATATGATTGAAAAAAATAACAAATCGTTCCTGAACATTCTGTATATTATGAGACAACGCATACAAGTAGTTGTTTGTTATTTCTCTCAGATACATCGCAACCGATGGAATTTATCGGTTGTAATAGAAAATAAAATTTGAACACTATATGAATAACCTCGCTCCATCTCATGCCCTTCCACTTGAGAGCGTTTGCCGGTACACCCCACTCTGGTTTGAGAGTATTGTACACGAAGTCGTTGTAGAAATCATAACTTGAGTTGGTCCATAACTTGGCCTTGACAGCTGTGCCGTGTCCAAAGTCACTTCTTTTCTGCTCAACCTAAACACAAAACCTTTGCAATTTCAGTTGATTTTAAGTGATAAAAAAGTTCTCCACTGATAGGCAGAAAACGTACCGGACATGAAAATTCGAAAAACCCCATCAGAGGGCCCAATGTTGAGGAGTACTGGCTAAAATAGGATTTTCGTTTGCACAAAACAAAAAAAGACTGGTCACATTGTTAATGCAAGAATTTCTATATGTAAACAAGAATATACAACCGTTTTAATGTAATTCTTTAAAAGCGCTAGTTTTTCAAACTTTTTGTTTCAGATATTACTGAAAAACGTTATTGTCATCTGTGTCAGGAGGTGTGTATGCTTACCTCTATCGTGACACCTTTCAGGCTAATTCCCCTGATTTTCCTTACTCTGTAAACAGTAATAAAACACATTTATCAGTATCATCAACGGAAAAGCAAAACATTGAAATAATATTTGATGATTAGGAGTTTGAAAATACCAAAGGATTTTTTATGTTAACTAATGTTATATAACAATTGAAATATAGCGCAATATTAAGTTAGATCTAGAAAACAGGTTACCAGTCTCGATATCGTGCTATAGAGATGGTGCATTAAATAAGTATCACACGATATTGTAATAAGCCATTCATAGAGGTTGACATCTGTATACGTCTGTGTAAAATTGAGGCGAAGAAAAAATGCTGATCTTACAGGATGTTTAATGTGACCTTGCGATAGAGGTCAATGTTGGATTCGGCCTTTGACCTCCAGTTTGGGTCCGGCACGAGCTCAGTAAGACTTCCATCATCAAAGAAATAGTTGACGTCCTTTTCCTCGATTTGGATATATATTTTGATCTCTTTGACATCTGAAAATTAGTCAAAATATAAAAAAAAAATCTTCCAAATTTATATGTAAAATGGGAAGCAAATAATGAGTAAAAACATTTCTACGATCAGATTTGGTTATGTTATTGCAACAATAAGTCAAAGGTACAAATTAATTATTAGAAATGTCACTGTTAATTGTTTGAAGAAAAGCATGTGCTGCAAGGGGCTTTGGTGAATTGGTAAAAACCTAACCTTACTATTACCAACGAAGACAAACTTACTGTTTGGGAGTTTGAAGTCCCCTCCCACCTCTTGCCAGGATCCTGGTCGAACACGAGGATGTATGCCGATATTGGTGTAGGTTTTACTGCCTATGGATAATTTAAAAGAAGTTAATATTAACGTGTAGCCAAACGAATGGTTTGAAAAATGGAGATGTGAAAAATCCTGAGTATCTTTTGATGATAACATAAAATCTACTGCTTTAGAAATAAAGGGTTTTTACTCATGTTCAAATATAAATATTAAATAATTGTCTTTATTATCAATTATATTATTGTTCAGTAAATCAATTCCGTTTAAAGTCAGTTAAAAAGTAGTGATGGCGAACGTTCCATGTTCATTGGATCGTTTGAAAGGTCTGTGATAGGTGGAATTATTATCACTTAATCTTACGTGTGAATGGTTAATTTATCATCACCTGGTATTCCTTGTCTCTGAATTATAACTTATCATCACGTTATATTTCACACCTGTGATCGCCTAATATCACATCTGTTATAGGAAGAGTATTGCATGATTTGTTAAACGATATAATGATGCAGCATTGCCATAAAATATACGTTGCTGGGGTATGGGAAGGAAACAGCAGTCATAATAATTGCCGTTTCACCCTGGAGGTAAAGTTTGTCTTCAGGAAATGATAAAACATACCCTTAAGAAATTTGTTTAAAATCAGCTAAGCAATTATTTTATAACGCATCACATCGATTATTTTAAATTTAAAAACTGTTTTTTTTTTGCATATTGGAATAGGCTATATAATGCCATAAGACATTATAAAAAAAGCATGTTATTTAAAATATTCATCATTGACATGCAGTTAAAAGTATATATGTAGATAATAATTCTGAAAATGTGTATTAAAATGTGCAAAAAAATGTTTTTGAAATTAAGTAGTTTGACTACAAAAACTGTAATTGGTACCCTATTAAGAAAATCGAATAAACTTTATAAAAAATATTAAAAAATCCTGTAAAAATGAAAACGAAAATAACAGCCAATGTGCTGTTCAGAAGCTTTATAAATGAATTACTCCGACTTTCTTATCCCAATCACACTGATTACAATTTATGTTAAAATCATCAAAATTAAAACCCTTTGGTAGGAAGAAGTACCTACCATCAAGCGTTTCTATTCTCAACTTCACATACACATCATGATATAAATGACCAGGCACAAGGTTCTCCAACTTGATGTGTCCAACAAAAGCGTACAATTTATCGGATTCCACGGCAGGTGTGGCTATAAAATAGCCAAGGCCTGCCCAATTATTCGACCTAAAAACGAAAAGAAAACGAAAAGGGTATTTATAAGCGCCGTCGAATATCTATCCCTATTTTGTTAATGATTCATGCCGAAAGTAGTCATTTTGGGAAGTTAATTAAATATGATTTAATACACATCATGAACCGTACGCGTGTTCATAAATCTATTAATTTACCAAAAGGTCTAACATGTACCAATTAAATTTGAAAATAAGATTACAGCACGGCCCAACAAAATGTATCACAGCGCCAAAAAACAAAAGATAGCACGGCGAAAAAACCACAAAAGTAAATATCATAACATCAAGACACTTAACACGGTTTAGTGTCAAATCGCAATGTAACAACGTAAACACACAAAATATAGCACAGCGTCAAAACTGAAATACTTATCATGCGATCAGGACATCAAGGATAGTGCAGCGTCAAGTGACAATAAATACCACAGCGTCAACAATATCAATATATATATAAACCACAGCGTCAACAATATCTATATATATATAAACCACAGCGTCAACAAACAGACTATGGGACAGCGTCAATAAAAAAGGTTATATTATATGATCAGGACACAAAATATTGACGCATCTTCAACAAACAAAACATACCACAGCGTCAAGACATAAGTATACCACACCTACTACCCACTACCTATAATCACAGCAACAGGTCACAACTGCAGCGTCAACATACAAATAATACCGACGCATCATCTCACTAAAGTATACTAGAGTCAAAACACAATATACACCATAACTAAAAAAAACCACCAACACCTCAATGACACAATGTATACCATAGTATCATCTCACTAAATAAAAAAAACCAATGTCAATACATATATTAGACAACAGCGTTAATACAAATGATTTACCACAGCGTCAATTCACAATATATTCCACAGCGTTAATACAAAATATATACCACAGCGCTAATACAAAAGGTATACCACAGCATTAATACAAAAGATAAACCACAGCATTAATGTACAAGATATACCACAGCATTATTACAAAAGATGTACCACAGCGTTAATACAAAAGATATACCACAGCGTTAATACAGAAGATATACCACAGCGTTAATACAGAAGATATACCACAGCGTTAATTCACAAGATATACCACAGCGTTAACACACAATATACACCAAAGTCTCAACACTGTTATATATATAATATTAGGACACAAAATATACCACCATGTCAACAGCACAGAACCACAGCGTCAACATACAAATAACACCAAAGCATCATCTCACTTAGTAAATAACAACGTCATAAATTTTACCAGAGTCAAAACACAATATATACCCAAACGATAAAACACATCAACACCTCAATGTCACAATGTACACCGTAGCATAATCACAATGCACTACATGCTGAACACAAAGTCTACAACCACATCTACATATATAATATATTATATTACATGAAAGTGTGTATGGTCACAATATACACCATAACTAAAAAAAAACACCAACACCTCAATGACACAATGTATACCATAGTATTATCTCACTAAGTAAAAAAAACAATGTCAATACATATATTATACAACAGGATCAAAGCGCAATATAGAAAACAGCGTCAATACAAATGATTTACCACAGAGTCAATTCACAATATATTCCACAGCGTTAATAAAGAAGATATACCACAGCATTAATACAAAAGATATACCATAGCGTTAACACACAATGTACACCAAACTCTAAACACACAATATATAACAAAGTGTCAACATTGTTATTTATATAATATTAGGACACAAAATATACCTCCACGTCAACAGCACAGAACCACAGCGTCAACATACAAATAACACCAAAGCATCATCTCACTTAGTAAATAACAACGTCATAAATGTTACCAGTCAAAACACAATATATACCAAAACGATAAAACACACCAACGCCTCAATGTCACAATGTACACCATAGCATAATCACAATGCACTACATGCTGAACACAAAGTCTACAACCACATCTAGATATATAATATATTATATTACATGGAAGTGGTACATATGAACATTTTTATCAGAACGTTTCTATTTGTTTTCTGCAATCTTCGCTCCCTCATGACATATATACAACTAAGAGAGCAAATGATATACTAGAGTATAACTTCCCAAGTATTTATGATCATATGTAAACATCAAATGGCATCAATTGAAAATTGACTTCTTCACAAAATACCTAGCATTCGCCTTTATTATATAAAATAATATAGTACCTCCCGGTGATGTGGACACTCTGCGCCCCGCCACGTTTCTCTGAGGTGCTTATGGCCCAAGAACATCCCGACTTACTCCAGTAAGTCCCCAGGGTAGCCGCCTCAAAGTCTCCATTTCCCAGGAGGTTGGTCCCTGCTACTCCCAATATACAAGTCCCCACCAGGAGAAGACAGACCAGAAAAGACGCCATAGTCCTTTTGTGACACAAAGCACTATCGTGGATGCAATATAAAAGTAGGTATGCTCCTTTTATTTGACCCTTAAATTACAGCTATTAGGTTTGGAGCATGATTGGTTGACTGATATTATTGTAAACTATCGCACTTACTTACTGATCAGTCTGGCTGAGGTCAAGACTGTACGTAATGTGTATATAAAATTGGAACGAACCATAAGGATGTGGTAGAAATATATCTCGAGGGTAAATGAACCGAGTACTGTAGCTATAACGTGCGTCATACGCGGTGTAATGTAAGGCTAGTACCATACAACACTATGAAAACATATTTTTTTTCGTTCAAAGAAACCCTTATATCACATCAGACTTACATAAGTACGAGTCAACTTTCCACTGGTAGTTCAAAAAAACGTCATTTCGTAATAATTTCAGATTTGCTACCTGAAATGAAACTTTTAATGAATTATAAAGTTTGAAACTAAATTCATCCATGTCATACTGTTATGATTCCGCTTTTTAGCATACTTATTCATTTGGTAAAGTTTATGTTTTTTTATATTGCAAAGTGACGAGTTTATTTGGAACAAATGCTTTGCTCTAATAACGAACGTTTCGCACGTAAGTGTTGGAAAATATTCAAGTGACTGTACTTAACTATTGAAAAAAAAAAAGAAAACAATCTCACACCAGAGGATTAAACACATTTAACACCCATTAAGCCAAAGCATGACAGGAACCTATTACATAGCAAAAGGAATGACGTCATGATTCTATTTATGCTTTACTCAGAAATAGTTCTTGTTCACAAAAATGTGCCGCTGACATAAAACACGTATTTCGTACGTGCCAAATATTCCGCGTATTAAATATCTTAAAAATCCATTTTTAGCATTGGAACATTGTTAATTAAGAGAAACTGTAATACTAAATCATTAGATAATAGAAGGTAATACTGTTTATTCAGCTTACAGTCCGGACGCGTACGTCACCTTACACAAGCCGCCGGGAAGGTTCCTTGCGGTTTTCACACGTATCCATCAATACAAATCTATTTAAGTGTCTCCCTGCCCGGCGACATTTCATCTTACTGACCAAAGATCCCGGAGGCTGTATTAAGTTTACCAAATATGGTAAACAGGTCCATTTATCTAGTTAGGACCAAGTAACGTTCGCATTTTAAGTAAATTAATCAAATGTTATTTGTTAGTTATATCAAGTAAACAAGAAGAGATAAACATGGATACCCTAGGACAAAATCGGGACTGAATCCACAAATATTGTCTGTCAAACTGACTGACCAGGGTCCGAAAGATGTTCGTCATACCTACTGATCTGATACCTAAAGGCTATATTAACGGACTGATTTTACTAGGTATATACAGATAGCTACAGTTCACAACACTTACCTTTGATACAGGTACCTGCTCCAAACATGGCGATTAATCACTTCGAAACACATACATATCCACTTATAGAAGCATTATGCTTATGTGCTGCGGCATAAACATTTTATTACCTGACTAATATATGTGGTAAATATGTTAAGTCCATGATGCAATCATACAAATGTAAAGTCTTTGTCCACTTATTAAATGAACTGTAACATTTGCGCATGTAGAGGGACGAAAGTAAGGTTAGAAGGTCATTCGTTATTCAAAATTGGACAGGAAAATTAACTAAAGCGGATGCCGGTGCCCAGCTTTTGAAAGGTTGCACGTACAGGTTTTAACCTTTTAAAAATTGGGCACCGGCACGGGTTCTAGACTACCTTGGACCCTATTTTCAATAATTGTTAAAAATGAGCTTTCGTTCGAATTCTATGTTACAGGTCCTAGCTCAGAATGAATGCCTATTTCAATCTTAATTACACTTTACGAAAATGGTCTCTGTGGCACCCCCTGTAAGTGCAATCTTTCAAAAGTTGGGCATCCGTTTTACTTAATTTTAATTGACTTTAAAGTGAGATAAAATTATCTATTTTCAGGTAAGCCTACCCATTACTTGTTTAGGTGTATCGGTTAGCATACACGTCCAAGGACGTCGTGGTTTAACCTGTAACTTAGTTGATCCCTTTATTTGAACATTGTTTTCGCCCACCATTCACAGAGTTGCCTTCCATTTTTACCTTTTGATAATTTCTTTGCTACATTTGTTGAAAGTGTTCATATGCAAATCAGGATAAAAATAGATGACAAATGCTCAAACTAAGTATTGTAAACAATGGATGAAAAAGAATAATCCCTTAGGGTGGGGGTAGAGTATATCAATTAAACTCAAGCCCCAGGTTGAGATTCTTAATTGCTAACCCTCGGGTGAAGATAAACCTCGATTTAGACGATCAAGAATACCATCCGTCAGATTGGTGTTTTTCTGTCGTAAAATCTCAGTACCTTGTTTGTGTTAACGCCAATTTCAAATTTTAGGAAGCTTGCTTGCACAAGATTTATGGTTTTATGTTTTTCTCTCTTAAATTCTTCCTGATTACTGTTTGTCCGCTCACATGGAATATGAATTTTGAAACAAGGCAAGCACGTTGAAGATTGTCTCCGATTCGCTCTGGATATCAGAGGCATGGTAGTCTAGTTGTTGAACACCGGGCTCGTTACCGAAGGTTCGCGGGTTCGAATCCCGTTATTGCACTGTGTTGTTTACTTGAACAAAATACTTTACTCACAGCTTGTTCAAGTCTACTCAGTTGCAATTGAGTACATGGTTTGGCAGTGCTGGAATTGTTAAATGATCGTTGTGAGCGCCTACATTGCAGCACAAGGGAGTTGAGAAAGACATGTACTGGTTGCAAAGGCCTAATGACCACGGATAATAATTTGTGAACCGATTTGAGACGACCTCGGTAGTGAAAAGGCGGTTGATAAGAACCTGAAATTATATTTATTATTTATTGTCTTCTGTTCAATATGTCTTCATTTCCTTTCTCCGTTTGATTGTTCCCATCTTAGGTTAATTTGTGGTTCTCATAATCAGCACCTTGTTGTGCTAGGCTACACTCATATTTGTTTGGCTAAAGCTTTGTATGCATGGGCTTGTCAAATACTTTCTGTTAATTTGTCAACAACAAAAAATGCTTTGTGTATGAGCTTAACATGTTTTGCCTAATTATTCATTAATTCTTATTTCTATTTGATAAAGTAGATTTTCTCCAGTTTTGTTATTTTTTGTTCTTTACTTCAGTCCATGGACGTCTTGGAACAGCCAGGTCAGTGTTGTAAAACCTAAAATTGGTGACGTTGCAATAGGTATAAAATAACCCTCAAGCCGCATTCCATTATATATGTATTGCCACCTAACGTAAAGACTTACACAATACAGATTTTACGTGATTTAACGCTGTATAACGTATTAAATATTCTGGGTAATATCAGTAACTTCTGGAAGTACATGGTAGGATTTACATCTACTTTATCAGGACAAATACATAGGTAAATCAAAAACAGGTCCATAGTTTCAAATATTGAGTGATTCACGTCCAGTTCAAAATATTTTATTAATGGTTAGCATACTTTTGATTTAAGATATTCAATCGACCCTATAAGACATGTACAATGCTTAATGTTTAAGTGTTTCAGTACGTGATGTTCTCAACAAGAATGTCCACTACATTACGACTTACACAAACCTATGTTATATGTTATGAACAGTGTGCTTTATTCCAGCTGTTTGTGAACACAGTCGTGTGTTAAATTGACAGAAAACAAGTTCAGGTATTGACTGTTTTGTAATAGAGTATAGCAATATATATAGCCATACCACATCAATGTATAACGTTATAAAGATAATTGCATTACCACATACCTGATTTATTTTAATTGATTTTATAACTTGTAATTATTATACTTAAAAAAATCATGATCTGGTATCTCCAAAGGTTTAATACAGTGATTCGCTTGTTACTGGTATTCATGTAACCGAACAACCAATCGATAGAGGACGTACACAGGTTCATTGTGGTGGAGAAAATAGCGATATTTAACTGTTAGTACTTTAAAACTCATTCAAAGGTGTTAATGTCATTCACCCCAAAAGGATATGGTGGAGTTCTTTGTGGTTATCTTTTTCAGCAATTACCACAGTAACTGTACTCGTCACAAATGATTTACTGGCGTCCAGAAATGGTGATATGGAGGACAACCCTATCTCCTTTGGTATATACATTTTAAAATTGGTTCAAATAGCAGAGAAGATGATATGTTGCCAACAGGTGGCGGCTACACATCTCGAAAAAATAAGTAAATAAGTAAAAATAATAGGCTAGATGGGGTAAATTATTTTGGTTCAGAAACCTAAGCAACCTTCGGTATTTGCCCAAGATTATGTACTCTTGGGTGGGATATTTTTACCTTATATACCGGTACATATGATAGAGTCATATATTCTATATCACTTAACGGGGGCAATTTTAGATTATAAAACTGATTAGCAAGAATCAAAACGCCGTCTCAAAAAGGGTTGAGCTTATTGAATTACTATAATTTGACTAAATATATACAATTAAAGGGTCATTTACACTTTTCATTAGAATTATTACAGGAGCAAAGATACACTATTCTAAGCTGAACCAATATGGTATTCAGTAAAAGACCAAATGTCTAAATTACATATATGCTAATGTAGCAAAAACTAAAAATTGACAGCATACACGCTAATATAGCGTAACTAAAAACATCAAAAAGCTATATAAAGAGGTTACGAAAATGTAATAATTAGATTTTACTACACGGAAATGATATATTTTCATAGGATTTTCAATTTCGTTGATTCCCTAGGTACCGTGCATCCACGAATTTATATACCCATAAAAGATTTGATATGATTTTTTTTCTCCGTATGAGTAGTATACTGCCAGCTTTTGTGGGTACAAGTAATCCACGAAATCATGTACACACATTTTATTTTGAAAACCAAAATCTGATTCATAATATAAATATTGACTTCAATTATAGGAGCAATCACATGCATGCAGGTGTGTTAGGTTCATCTATAAAGAAGTCACCTCTATAAATCTACCTAAAATACACAAGCATTATTTATTCAATATTTGATCGCAAAAGATTAAGTAATAGACAAAACGGAAACATATATGGAGATATTAAATATAGACGGATAGTGTTACAAAATGAACAAACATTTCTATTAAGTTGTCAAGTTATACATGTTAGCATATATTTGTATTCGGCAAAAGTCAAGCCAACACTATTTTGCTTTGTGTCGGTGACGCTCTTAAGAATTATTTCAACTTCACGAAGTATATTAGCATTTGAATGAAACGAACTGTGACCTTAACTTGGAATCGTTACGCAACACTTGCTTACTTCTAACGACCCGTAACTCACTTTGGCTTTTTTCATAGATTAATCATGTACCTTATTGAGCTCCTGGCAAAACCGATAATCATCGAGTGAGTAATGGAGGTTATGCACTATATGTGTCAGGGGTTGACTGCCGCCGAGATTAATTGAACAGCTACATACAGACCATTTTATCTCTAAAGAAACTCTGATCGTTGGCGAAATAGACACTTGAAAGACCGGTTCTGCTTTGCAGTGATGACAATATATGTGCAAAGAAGGCACCTGTGCTAATCATAACACTATTTTTCTTTAAAGACAGGTTTCGTTATCTGACGATACGGCTAGTTTCATTATAGTCAGTGTTTGCTATATGAACCCATATCCTCACTGAGCTAACATACATGAATCAACAAGTGTATTGAATGCCAATCCATGATTACTTATTCCACCTAACAGGAGACCTCTGTGTTAGTATAGAGAAGCATTTGTATTTGTTGGACTGTTATATTTACACTATTTGGAGAGCAATCCTATAAATTTAATAAAAGACATTTCAATCAAATTCTCTTGAACATTTCGCTTTACTTCGCACAAGGTCTTTGTACACTGAATATATAACCTGCTTTATTGCATCTTCAATACTAACAATACTGAAAAAGAAGAGCTCATAAATTAGAGAGTAATCCCGTAGTTGTTTAGAGAGTAATCCCGTAGTTGTTTTGTGTGAACCGAACTTGACATTCCCTGTAAAGAAAATAATCATCAAGGCATTACTTCGTTCAAACCTCATCAGACCAATTCGCTTTATTTTGTGTGTGTTGGTTTCGTTTCATAGATCAGTAAACATGTTCACTTATCCCAGTAACGAACATTTGAAAGGGGATTAATAATGAATGTCTGTCAATTTACTGAAAAGATGCGATGCAATCTTTGTAATTGAAGACAATTTTTCTTTAAAAAAGGATCAGTTAACTTTTTAAAAGAGTAACCAAATTTTCCTGAAATCTTACCAAGAAATATACATCTTAATGTTATTATGAAAAACATTATTAATGTTTAAACTATTTAAAAAAATAACCAAATTGTGTCTGCAACTGAAGATTCTCCTGCAAAACTCTCTTGCTAGCTAATTTATTGGAGGACGGGACACATCTTCCTTGCTATCATTGGTCATGGGTTAGATTGTAGATTATCCAACCAGCCATGGCTTATAAATTCCATAAACTAAAGATTGTGGCATATTTCTACCGGGAAAAGGGAAGTTAACAATCAATAAACCAAATTCATGATTATCAGAATAAGCTTCTTAGTGATTGGACCATATATTTGTAATATGCCTGAGGATAAAGATGAAGGTATATGTGGGGAGACATAAAATATAAGTGCTGGCGTTGTAGAAATGGCACCTGGGCTGGGCTTGCACAGACTTTGGAAGCCACATCAGTGAATTTGACGGTGGATAAGATGTACGCCTTCGTTGGTTTCATACGCCTGGAGAATCTTCCTAACGCTTCATCGTATGTCGAAGTCCAGATGATGATGCTTCAGACATTCAATGACGGTTAGTATTTTTTTTTATCACAAATATATGTAACCTATTTCTTTTGTCACTTTCTAAAAAGCACATGTTTGCAAATACTAGCAACATCCTTTACGAATTCATATTGAATGCGATTAGAAATCTAGTCGTGGCCCAAACCGTGTTATAGAACTATTCGTACCTATCCCTTATATAACCGAGAATTCTCCTTCATTCTTTCTCTTGAATAATTAAGGACTGTCAATGAGAGGCTAGTATCATTCTTACAGTAGTGCGCTTCCCTTTGATATATGATAAAAAAAACTCATGTTGCATCTGACTTTTGATATTTGACATTCGAGGTGTAAGTTAATTTTTGGAATTCAGTTTTGATTATAAAAGTTTATTTGTAGAAAGTACTGGTTTAAGTAGTATAACAAAATAGTTTATTAGAACGTGTAATGTCATATTCGTTATGATTTTGTTTAGATTGTTTTAACAAAAGCGACTCGTTGATTTCATGAAATATAACTTGCTTTGGAATATAAGTACAGAAACCTCATTTAGCTAAAATCATGGTTTAAATAAAAACAGCATATCAAGTAAAAAAAAAAAGCAATCATCTGCAGTAATACTGTTCACAACTGTTTTCTCTTCTGTGTACTATTTAAACAATAACTGGTTGTCTGGATGTGATTATTGTTGATATAATTACATCCAGACAACCAGTTATTTTTTATATTTACATATTTTTCTTTTTTAAGACATATTCCTACAAAAACCATTTGCCCTGCCTCAAAATACATTTCAGGCGGCCATTTTATTTGTTAACATATTCCTACACCTGAAACAGGCAGTTGTAATTATAGTCGAGCAGTTGTAATTATAGCCTATTTAATTACACTTGCCCTCTAACACTGTTGTAATGGGACAGCGCAGGGGCAAATGTAAATATACTGATATGACATCCGAGTGCTGTGTATCTGTGGGTACACGTGTACTATTGCCAAATTGTCTCGGTGAACATTGGGTACAATAGACCCCCCCCCCCCCCCCCCCCCCCCCCCCCCCCC